TTTCCCAGATACAGGGTAGACTTATACACTCAGGGTAGACTTATACACTCAGGGTAGACTTTCCCTGATAAAGGGTAGACTTATACACTCAGGGTAGACTTATACACTCAGGGTAGACTTTCCCTGATAAAGGGTAGACTTATACACTCAGGGTAGACTTATACACACTGTTGTTACTTATTTGTCATTTGAATAAGCCAGCGGCATCAATTCCACAAATCTTCTGTTAAGTTACAGAACTGATTGAAAGTTTCAGCTCCAACAATGAATACACCATAGATCAGTTAAGAGATAGCTCAGCTATGTTTGTTGTAGTTTGAAATACTGTATAATACAGCTCCATCATACTTAATACTTGTTATGTTATTTATCTGACATACTTACTTTTTGATGTCATGATTTAAATTCCATGTGATTTCATTCCTTGTATTTAACATAATACATCCTCGTTGTCCAGTAATCGTGTTGTAGTCTTGAGACACAATCTAAACAGGTACAAATATCTAAATATTCTGACCATACCTTCATGGGCCATATAAGTAAAACATGGTTCGTCTGTCACAAATCCAACAGGTACAGTGTAGTGTCACACAACACATCAGAAGCCACACTGTACCTGTCACAGAACCAGTGTAGTGTCACACAACACATCAGAAGACACACTGTACCTGTCACAGAACCAGTGTAGTGTCACACAACACATCAGAAGACACACTGTACCTGTCACAGAACCAAAAAGTCCAGTGTAGTGTCACACAACACATCAGAAGACACACTGTACCTGTCACAGAACCAAAAATTCCAGTGCAGTGTCACACAACACATCAGAAGACACTCTGTACCTGTCACAGAACCAAAAATTCCAGTGTAGTGTCACACAACACATCAAAAGCTGCAGACACTTTCAATAATAAAACATTTATGAATGACTGTCCATTTGCCATAAATCAAGAAAAAGTCACTGCCCGCCATTCAAGAGCTTCCTTTTACTGCTCTGTTGGTTCCGTCATAGAGGCAAAGTTAGCTTGTTTTATTGTCATGTCTGCCACTCATGGCCTTTTCTCTCTACTGAGATGTAGATCACCTCAGATGTGAGATATATAATTTGAATGTTGAGAGTGGAGAATGTACAGGGCCAGGTCACATGAGCCCTGGCTGTTGCTACACCTCCATCAATCTTCTCTCCTATTTTTTGTAAATATCATACAATAACATCACGGAAAATAAACAGTCCTCCTTCAACTCATCAAATGGGGTTCTTGTTAATTGAAAAGAAACAAAACTTTACAATAAAAAAGTTTTTGAAGGCAAGTTACTCAAATTCCTATTGTTACACAGTCTAGATTTGGCATGAAAAATATTTCTTAATACAGAACAGCTATCACATTACCAAAGAGCAAATCCTTGTAGAACAGGTGTAACAGCAGGTGTATCAACGACTGTAACAATACAAGCACTGATTGTCAGAAATACCTGGACGTCAGAGTATAGGCAATCCCTACAATGTCTGATCACAATTGATCACACCTGTAAAGTCCAGTAATGACCACTGGTCAGACTGCTGTGGTAGGTAAGACTTGGTTAATTAACACAGAGGAGACAGACCGGCTGGTGATTCTCCGTCCATGCCAGCCTGTACATAAACTCACACCATCTTCAATCAACCGCACTACCATTCAAATGGAAACTTTAAAGCCATATTTTTTCCTCTGCTGTCGTATCAAACATTAGCCTGAGGTGGTCCTTACAGTTCCTACACTGCAGCAGTTTATACCTCACCCAACGGTGCCTTAATATAGTCAAGTGTAGGAACACAGGTTCCAGGCGACAAGTATTTGTTCCAGGTAGATCATGACCTGCTGATAAGCTCCAGTATAACCCCTGTTGGTGTCATAATCACATACCCATGGACAATAGAAATTGTCTATTGTAGTATACTCCTTTACGATCGTCCACTCAACCCTTCTCCAAACGTATACCATTTAACCGTAAAAAAGCTTACCACCCGACTCGAGTTAACCCTTCTAATAATGAAACAACGACATAAGCCATTACACTTCACCAATTCTCATCACGGATTTTATTACATTCATTCATGGGGAGTGATTCTGGTGTTAAAAATGGAATTTTTATAGTTAAGTCATCTTTTTACTAAAATTGAGATGTTTAACAAACTATGTTTTAATAATTACTGATGTATACATGCAGGTTTAATTCTCTATAAAATTATAACCATGTCATCACAGACACCGTGTAAAGAAGCATATAGTGTAAATATATAGACAAGTATATGATTCTATCTAAACTAAGGTTACTTACTGACAACGTTAACTACAACATTTGGTTAAATTTTTTATTGATTTAACAATGACTGCAAGCAGCCTGGAGTCTACTAGCTTCTTCCTTTAGAGATACAGCCCTGAGTCCACCAGATACTTTCATTTAGAGATACAGCCCTGAGTCCACCAGATACTTTCATTTAGAGATACAACCCTGAGTCCACCAGATACTTTCCTTTAGAGATACAGCCCTTAGTCCACCAGATACTTTCATTTAGAGAAACAGCCCTGAGTCCACCAGATACTTTCATTTAGAGATACAGCCCTGAGTCCACCAGATACTTTCATTTAGAGATACAGCCCTGAGTCCACCAGATACTTTCCTATAGAGATACAACCCTGAGTCCACCAGATACTCACATTTAGAGATACAGCCCTGAGTCTACCAGATACTTTCCTTTAGAGATACAGCCCTGAGTCCACCAGATACTTTCCTTTAGAGATACAGCCCTGAGTCCACCAGATACTTTCATTTAGAGAAACAGCCCTGAGTCCACCAGATACTTTCATTTAGAGATACAGCCCTGAGTCCACCAGATACTTTCATTTAGAGATACAGCCCTGAGTCCACCAGATACTTTCCTTTAGAAAGACTTTTCATCTTGTGATCAGTCTTTTTATGAAACATTTACATAATAATGAAGGAAAACCTATTTGTAAAGTTTTAAGAAATATCCATCCATTTTGAGTAAGAATGTAAATATCTGTATAGAATTCATTAACACTAGGGAAGTATAACAATATATCCAATCAAAATGTTGCTGAGAAACACACATCCTACCATTATAGCAAAGTTTGCCAGGACATCAATTGAAAAATAAGAAAAGAGATTTCCAGATTCAGACAAGATCAAAATGTTGCTGAGAAACACACATCCTACCATTATAGTAAAGCCTACCAGGACATCAATAGATAACTAAGAAAAGAGATTTCCAGATTCAGACAAGATCAAAATGTTGCTGAAAAACATACATCCTACCATTACAGCAACGTCTACCAGGACATCAATTGATAACTAAGAAAAGAGATTTCCAGATTCAGACAAGATCAAAATGTTGCTGAAAAACATACATCCTATCATTACAGCAACGTTTACCAGGACATCAATTGATAACTAAGAAAAGAGATTTTCAGATTCAGACGAGATCAAAATGATATAAAAGAACAAAGGGAAATAACTTCTCTAATATTTTGAAACCTAAATGATAAAAAGAAACAGTGCTGCACATCAGGATGATATAGCATACCAAATATCTGACAGATTGGTTGAAAATTTAACAGAACAGTTCTTTGGGTGAGTTTAAATGCTTAAAAATCAATGAAAGGTTGGTGTGGAGACAGAAATTAACGATGTGTGTCTGTCATGTATATCACAAGGGCACTTTTCTCCCTGGTTAATGTGGAGACAGACATCAGTGTCTTTTGCCCCTGGTCGATATGTGGACAGTCAAGATCAGTACAAGCACCTGCTCCAGTCTTGTATGCCAATGCTTACACAGATGACTGAACACCTTTTTCATCTGATTGCGAGGAATTTGATTACACCAGTCACAAGCATTCCTTGTTTACATTAAATCCACAGTTCATTTGATGGAAGTCACAGTTGGACACTTTGATAAAATTTTAATCATACTGCGAAATTACTACCTACAATTTTGGGAAATAAATATTATGCCACTGACACATTGTATAGCCATTTTATTGAAAACACCTTTGAGAGAAGATAATTGAATTTGTGTGGTTGGGGGCTAACTGAGTGTAACAAATCTTCTCATTGGACAATTTTCGCCTCACGCTCTATTGGTCAACACAATATATACAGGCACTGGGCTGTTTCACCCTAGTCCAACACCATTACAAGTACATTTTTTCACTTATCTCTTTCTAATATAACTTGAAAATGTTTCAGCAATTATCAATATGTCAGTCAATTAAATATTGATGTTCATTTAACAGGTTTACATGGTCTATGAAACTAATCAATGCCAATATCACCAACATAGTAGTTGACACTGATTTGAGTTCTAAAAGATTTATTTGCAATTTATAAATGATTTCTTCATGCGAAATTTTATTAAATTTTAGAAATAAAGAAGAGGCCTAGGGGGCCTTTAAAGCACACCTGAGTAGATTTACTATTCTCTTGCTGCAACCTGTTAAAAACATACAACTGCCCTATCAGAAATGAAGAGCTTTTTATTCAAGAATCCATGAGACTGAAGAAAAAACAACCAAATTGAAGCTCTAAAACACATCAAATTGAAAGTGAACAAAATAAAACAAACAGGTCTAGTCACACCCTATATCACATCTCCTGGATACTAGTCCTGACCTAAAGGACAAGTCTAGCCACACCCTATATCACATCTCCTGGGTACCAGTCCTGACCTACAGGACAAGTCTAGTCACACCCTATATCACATCTCCTGGGTACCAGTCCTGACCTAAAGGACAAGTCTAGCCACACCCTATATCACATCTCCTGGGTACTAGTCCTGACCTACAGGACAAGTCTAGCCACACCCTATATCACATCTCCTGGGTACCAGTCCTGACCTAGAAGATAAGCCAAGTCACATATATGACATCACAGTAAATCACAGAACAGGTTACTAGCCATACTTAATCAACCCAATAATTATAAATCTTTGTTATACTAACCAAGCAATTTCTGTGTGTCTGGCATATTGGAGTCTGAGGTTTCACTTGAGGTCTCCCTGGAACTCTCCCTGGTTACAGTTGATGCCAGATCCGAGGTATCAGAGACTGTACTATATGTACATGAGCTTGATGTCAGTAGATCATCCTGGTGTGGATAGGCTGGTCTAGAATTACTGTGCCACGCCATTTCACTCAGATCAGAGTGACATCCTGGAGAAAACAACATCACATCAACATGCATGTTAAATACCAATATAAGGCAGACTTATATACTGCCAGTGATGATAAAGAGGTGTCACACTACCACTATACCATATATTTAGGATTCTTTAACACACTTCTAATTTAAACAAATTTATCACACTACCAAAATCACAGATAGAAGTGTGAAATTGTCTCTCTGTCGGTATCTATCACATGTTTCACACTGATTTACTTAGAATGAATGACTAACTCAGCTTTTGTTGCTGCCATTGATATACCAATTTGTTTTCTAGTTTCATATATATCTAATTGTTAACTTTGAAAACTTTCACAGAAAATTTTATGTGATAAAAATTACCAATAGCACATTTATTTTGACAAAAAAGGCCATGTTTTATATTCTCTCCATAAATATTTTTAGGATCACCAACATCAAAAGAAGTTAAAACTGCTAGTGATACATTCTGTAAGGTAGACAATACCTCCCACACAATCCTTAAGAAAAGTTGTGCTGTATTCAATTATAACATTTACACCTTAGATTGGATTAAAAGTAATAATTATAAGTAAGCTATATACATATATCAATGTTGTCACTGCTGTTCAACCATTTCACTTGGTTATCATTGTCAATGTCCCCTACAGAAACCATTAACGCTTCAACCATTTGACATGGTTATCATTGGTTCCCTACAGAAACCATTAACACTTCAACCATTTGACATGGTTATCATTGGTTCCCTACAGAAACCATTAACACTTCAACCATTTGACATGGTTATCATTGTCAATGTCCCCTACAGAAACCATTAACGCTTCAACCATTTGACATGGTTATCATTGGTTCCCTACAGAAACCATTAACAATTCAACCATTTGACATGGTTATCATTGGTTCCCTACAGAAACCATTAACACTTCAACCATTTGACATGGTTATCATTGTCAATATCTCCTACAGAAACCATTAACGCTTCAACCATTTGACATGGTTATCATTGTTTCCCTACAGAAACCATTAACGCCTCAACCATTTGACATGGTTATCATTGTCAATATCCCCTACAGATTCTATTAACACTTCAGTCATTTGACATGGTTATCATTGGTTCCCTACAGAAACCATTAACGCTTCAACCATTTGACATGGTTATCATTGGTTATGTCTTCTACAGAAACCATAACACTTCAATCATTTGACATGGTAACTACAATATCCTCTACAGAAACCATTAACACTTCAATCATTTGACATGGTTATCATTGGTTATGTCTTCTACAGAAACCATTAACACTTCAACCATCTGACATGGCTACTACAATATCCTCTCAAAAACCATTAACACTTCAATCATTTGACATGGTAACTACAATATCCTCTACAGAAACCATTAACACTTCAATCATTTGACATGGTTATCATTGGTTATGTCTTCTACAGAAACCATTAACACTTCAACCATCTGACATGGCTACTACAATATCCTCTCAAAAACCATTAACACTTCAATCATTTGACATGGTAACTACAATATCCTCTACAGAAACCATTAACACTTCAATCATTTGACATGGTTATCATTGGTTATGTCTTCTACAGAAACCATTAACACTTCAACCATCTGACATGGCTACTACAATATCCTCTACGGAAACCATTAACACTTCAATCATTTGACATGGTTATCAATGGTTAGGTCCTCTACAGAAACCATTAACACTTCAACCATTTAACATAGTTACCATTAGCGTTATCCTCCCTAGAAAAGTCTCCACTCCTTGTTCCTAGAGAGAAATCTTTTCCTTCAACACTTGACAAGTACATTTGAATCAAAAGCCATTTTGAGTGTAAAACATCTGCTCTGCTATTGTCATGTGCCATTGCCAGCGGTAAAGTACAGAAAAAATCTACTTCTACCGAAGCTGTAATAATCAACTTCTCATGTCTAAACACTTTGTAGGGTTACTTTTGTGGTATTTGGTGCAAAATTAACTTTAAGCCGTCAAAACTATCTCAGGGAAAATCTTGAAATAAGATATTGATGATTTAACCTAGAGAATTGGCCACAGTTTCCACAAATGACACACGGATCCAGTCATAAATGTCAGGCTTGTGTTAGACTGGCAGGAGTGTGAAAAGGCACCAGGATTTGTGTGACATTAATTAAAAAGAAACATTGTTAAATTTCTTTAATACAAGAATGAAATTCAACTCTTTTTAATTAAAATTCATTCTATCAGGCCATAAATGAATATGGAGTTGTTTTTGTGTATAAAATGAAGATTGCTATATGCATGAGTGACTCAATGTTATGAACTGCCTTTCAGTAGATGCAAAACACCTCCTTTTCACAAATTTATCTTCCCTATTGTGATGCCAGATCAAGCAGTGATGTTATCATCAGATCATACATAGAATCTGCATCAAGTCAAAACACAGCCATCCGATACCACTAATTCATAATTCTTAATCTAAAAACTATGTATCACATCACTGTGGATTCAGTTTGTGGGTGATGTAAGGTAAGAAGGAAAAGGCATGTTTCACTTATATGGTCTGCTGCTGTAAACAAGTTTTTCTAAAAAAAATTCTGACAAGTTTCATGTACTTTCCGTGGTTACTTCTGGTACATATACCCCTTCTTTAGAGACATCCAATGACAAGTTGTCCTCCAGTGTCCAGAAGTGGACATATACTTACAAGTATTACATACAATGTTGTTAATGTAAGTGGTTTTTATTATCATTATTATCACTGTCCCATTGACCAAGGTTTCAGTCCCGCTGGTAAAGCTTATCTTTGTTTTTTCCTGTTCCAATACAATTTTTTGTCTAAATATGTTCTTATAGATCTCATTTCATTCTGTATAGTCAACCGGTCACCAGTCAAGACAGAAATGAGCCATTATTTAAAATGATGATCCAAAATTGATATTTTCCAATGTAAGATATATGTAAGAATCACATATATGGGGAGACTCAAACCATTTATGTTGATCATTATTGTTTAAAGGTATATGTATTTATGTTCATTTGTTGTTGAAGATATTCTTTTTGTTTACATACAAGTAGTTAATGTCATAGTGGGCATTTCCTTTTTATATGATAATGTCTGTAGTTTTGTGTTCAATATGACTTTTGCCCTTTTTGTTTTATAAAAGCATGTGCATTATTCACATCGTGGCACAGTAATGAGTTGTCCACCAAGTCACCTCTGCTAGCCTCACATTTGTAGATATTTAAGCATATGGCCCCTGTGTTGTGATATATCGTGCAATACATTTACTAATGGTTGTCTGTTGATAAAATTATATTGTTTGGTATGACACACTTTTAGTCATGTTTCAGAGTACTTCCTAACACGGAACCTTGTATCTATAGACTTCCCTATCAATTTTGGACCAGATTATAGACATCATGACATTGTATCTGTTTTTAACTTAAATTGCTACAAATCACAAACAGTGCAGTCAATTGCATTTACCTTTGAATATATCCTATAAATTACCATTAAAAATCTTTCATATGAACTTCATTGTGTTTGAAGGGTCAGCTTCCTGTTACTGATAGGAGTCAAAGTTCAGAAATATCATTTTGGGTCACAAGCTTTAAAAATCTTCTTGTATTACATGTAAGGTGCCTTGGTAATTGTGCATCAAAGCTTTGAAAAAGAATGGTGTTTAAACAAATTCTCCATAATAACTAAAGAGGCACAGGGCAATGATAATTGGTCAGTAACTTACTGCTGATAGTTGCTACTGAATCTAATAAATTAATATTGTTTTAAGAGCAAACCTTTGGTTTTTGGAAGAGGTTAATGTTCAAAGTGCTATTTTGGATAGTCTGAGTAGTATCTATTGAGAAACACTTGGGAGAGGATATCAGAACAAGTAAAAATGATAGAGTGGGTCCCACTTAAAACATAAACCAATGTTGTATGAAGGTCAGAAGGCTATTATAAAAACACTACATGACCTACCTACATACTAAAATGTACAGGTGCTGTAAGAGTTTTCACAGGTAAAGCGTGATGCCGCATATACATATATATATATCACAGGAAGAATGCATGTGTATAGTCATTCAAGGGCTCACTGCATAGTCTAATAGAATGTATACATGTCTATAAAATACTGACCTCTCACAGAAATGTCTAGAATATTTCCGACTTTAGTTCGTCAAAGATCGAAATGGTGGCAGGTTTACAACAAAATCAATATCAACAACCTTTATATCAATACCAACACACAATATTGTCTTGAATATTTCTTGGATAAGTGAATTTCAACTATATCAAAATGAATTTTATTTCATTTTCTCTTTGCTTTTTGAGTGAAAGTTGCATATATTGTTGTTTTAAATAGTAGGGCCATCTTCACTATGGCTGTTTTTACAATAGGACCGTTTTTGAAGTAAGGTCATTTTGAGCTAGATTCAATAGTCCACATGTGGGGATAACCATAAATTTGCATATGATATGCAAACTAGTCTATTATATACCAAACTTTTATTGGGGGTTTGGTTTTGTTTCTTCATGAAACATCATGCAACTACAAAATAAAATTTCTTTACGAATGGGAAAGTACCAAAAGTAGAAGCAGTTCTTCTGACTTATATGGCCTGTGTTACTACAGTTTCTACAGCAGTGACCGTAAGGTCCTACATCGAGTTTTAAGTAGGCAGTAGAAATGTATCTTCAGATAATTATAGTATGAAGTACTGTCAATAAGCACCTACTACAATACATGAAATGATGAAATATAACAAGGAAATGTAAACTGATAAAAAATCGTGAAGATGATGTGGGGACTTTTAACAAAAATTATTGAAAAATGTAAACATATGAAAAAATTCTGCTCCAATCCACAGGACTCCACCCACCTCTTTGTTTATCCTCTTTAATAACCTGCTTCACCAATCATATCATATCCAAATTCAACAGGCCAAACAGAAAAAGGAGACATATTTTAGGTAAAAAGGTTCCCCTACATCTCATAACCAACAGCTTATCTTCAAAGGAATATTCTATTCCACAATGCGTGGCATTATCTTCCACACCCAGCTGTTGGAATAGAACCCAAATATGATACATATATATATTGGATCACAATTTGTGACATCACTCAATTAAATACAGCTACTATCACCTGAAGATCTAATACAGTGAAAGCACTAGTGCAAAATGTAATGCCTTCTTTTGTTAATTCTTAATTAAATTCCCTTGTATCTCCTCAACTTCACCATTATATATATATAGTGTAGGGACTAAGGAATAATACTTAGCCATGCCCAAACAGCATCCCTGTAACCCTTGGAAACTTAAGGACAAGTTATTTCCTGGAGGGGCTGTATGTAACTCTGGTAAATATTAGCTGCAATATACTGTTTGGCTAGAGGGAACTTCTCTTTAGCTTGATCAGTTCAGCATCAAACTAGTAAACCAAGGGTCCTGAGTTCGAATTCTAGTGGAGGCATTGAAATAATTACCTCTTTTACAAATACAGCCAGTTTTGTGAAGTTTAGATGAACGATTTTGAAGTTACAGACAGAAAAGCCCTCGGATGGACGACAGACGGAGCCAAAATTAATATCCTTCAAAAACACGTTCAACTGAAATAGTAGGATTCAGTTTTTTGGTAAATGAGGCTGCAACGTCGAAATACCTTCCAGGACCAGTTTTGATAATTCTATATTGCAAAAGTTTATTTACTGTGTAATGGATTTTAGTAACAAATCCATACTATAAGCCAAGACTCGACCACTGAAAGACAGAAATAAGAGATGTAAACCCCGTTGAAAATAAAAAAAAAAAGATATACGGAAATTTGTTGGTTTTCCATCGACTTTCTTGGACAAAACCTTTTCTGCGACGGACAGGCTAGTTGACCGACACAAGAGATCATCACAGTGACCAACATACAGTCACGGTCAGGTCATAACATATATCGGCAAATTTATGCTAGAAGACATAAGCTACTTCACAATTAGCCATGTTGTACTAAATTATCTGATTATTTAATTTAAAACTTACATTGTTCGCCTTTTTCTGTTTCGAGTACCCGCTTTGTTTTCATTTTAGTGAACTAATCTATCTCCGACATTGAAGAGTTACAGAATATTTTAAGGGGACGGCAGTAATTGTGATAAAATAACAGATTCAATTGAGCCTGATTTTAAAAATGGTACATAATTAAACAAATGAAATGCATTCACTTGCTGTAAGTTTCACATCTCCCAGAGTTCACTGTTGGTCGTATAAATATTCTATAGGTTGTTGTCTTAAGATATAAAATTGGATCGAACTTCGTGACATTGTGTAATCTTATTCAAAATAATGACAAACTTTCCCAGCTGAAATAAATATTATGTACTATTATATGATATAATTTTATAGTTGGATTTGTTGAATATGAACGTTACACAGAAATGGTTGAATGCAATGCAGTGCATTTACTGCAGTTTTTACTATCTAGCTATCTACTGCTTTATTTTTCGTTTCCGTGCCGATAAAGACAAAATATAAATCATTTATAAAAAGTCTGGAATGTTCAGACTAGACTGTGCTACGATTTAAGATAAGTTGACATTTATATTGATACTGAATGCCAACCGATGATCGTTCTCTGCCAGCATCATATATATCTCATTTCAGTTCACTAACCGGAAAATTTATTCTGATTGTACCTAACCCCATTGGATATTACCCATTTCAAGTTGTCAGCCAACAGGAGAAGAACGGACCACAACGATGACACTCCGACGATTGGGAAGTGTCTGTGCTAGATCACTCCTCAAAACAAACCACATTCGCAGGACTTCAAATAGATTTTGCTCCTATTATCCAATTAATGATAATTTGTTTGGATTGAACAGCGAAGAAAAGCAGGTGCGAACTATTTTATAACCTTCAGAAACTTGCCCTTTGCCCACTGTATCAAGTTGGGGACATTATCGCAGTATTTTGAGCAGTACTTGCTGCGGCCTAATATGATTATGACATTTTATGTCTGATAGTAAATGTTTGTAAGAGAGGTAAGGGACTGAACCAAGGACAATTCAAAACTGTTACAATTATTGGTATTTATTGGCCGAGAATTGGTATGAGTTTTCCTAAAGAATGGTTTGAATTCACCTATATTTGAGGATACTTTTCAGCGTAAGACTGGTAAAACTGAGGTTCAGAGTTTGGTCCCTTGAAGTCTGAATTATTCTGTTCTTTTGACTTTTGATATTGGTCTAGATATGTATTTGTATAGATAACAGATTTATACCTATAATGATATATTAAGGTATGATATAGCTTTGGAGCCATAATCATTTCTTCAAGTTTATACATATCAATTGATATTGACATGTTTGAAATGAGATTGGTTTGTGTATAATTGTAGTTGAGAGAATCAGTGTTCCAGTTTTGTCAAAAGGAGTTGGCACCGAAAGCTGGTGAAATTGACAAATTAAATGAATTCAAAGACATAAAGGTAAGTTTATATGTAAAGAACACCCAGCAATGTTTTTTTATTTTTTCCTTTAAGACTTTAAAACAGATAAAGTCTGAAAGATGTGAATAATGCTGTATAATAACTGAATTCCTGATAAGAATAAAATTTATATTGTTAAAAGAATGGACTTTGTAGCTGGAAAGTGCTATTGTTTTCTTTCTGTACATGATTCTGTATATTATGTATTACAGAAATTCTGGCTGGAATGTGGCAAACTTGGACTTTTGGGAATTACTGCTCCAGGTAAAAAGCTCAAAGCTCAAGATTCTGTACAATTCATCTTCTAACGGTTTTCTGAGATAATCTACATAAACCAAGGCCATGCAGTTAAAATAAGTTTTATGAACATGCATACAAGGTTTCATGATTACAATAAGATAAGAAGTGAAGACACAGTGGATTGATAATACCAAAGTCATTAGAGTTATGATATCATCAGGGACATGTAAATACCTGGTATGTGTAGATCCTATGTCCCTACCATGGCTAATCACTAGGTAATGTAATTTGTACCTTCAGCTCAGTATGGTGGTTCCGAGATGTCATATCTAGATCATGTGTTAGTGATGGAGGAGATGTCGCGAGCGTCTGCAGCCATTGCGCTTAGTTATGGAGCACATTCTAATCTGTGTGTGAACCAGTTGGTGAGGAATGGTACAGAGGAACAAAAGCAGAAATATCTGCCACAGGTATAGTTATATAGATATCTAGTTGTAATTGTGACAACATTTGTTCAGGTACCTGTCAATTCACTAAGAGTACTTGTTGACCTTCTACATAACTTCATTTCCAGCTGATCACTGGGGAGACAGTAGGTGCTCTGGCAATGAGTGAACCTGGATCTGGATCTGATGTGGTGTCCATGAAGCTCAAAGCTGAAAAAGATGGTAATTTAAATTAGATAAATGAGGTTTTATTTACCAATTCATAGTCTTTTATCATAAAATCTTACCACAAACAAGGGCAAGTGAGCTTATGCTGTGGGTTAGCATCCATCTTCCATCATCCTGCTCTGTCCTCCATCTGTCTTCAACTTTATCCTTTAAATACTTATTTTCAATAACGGATAGACTTATGGTACTGATATTAGGCAGGTAGGATACAAGAGCCGAATGAGTCCTTGGGTCATGGTATTTGTGTAGTTACATGTTGAGGCTTGAATATCGGCTTTCAAATTTGCAGAAATTGACTTAATGAACTGTATAATAGTTAGTGAATTAAGGACCTGAACATCCTTTCATTTAAGCCCATTAAAGACCCATTTAAAGTTTACGTAGAGAATCAATAATGTGAGGGGTGTTATATGTGTTACTATGAGAATTGTGGGTTGTGGGGTGTGTTCCATGTTACTAGGAGTATCAGTGGTTGTGGGGTGTGTTCCATTTTACTAGGAGTATCAGTGGTTGTGGGGTGTGTTCCATGTTACTAGGAGTATCAGTGGTTGTGAGGTGTGTTCCATGTTACTAGGAGTATCAGTGGTTGTGGGGTGTGTTCCATGTTACTAGGAGTATCAGTGGTTGTGAGGTGTGTTCCATGTTACTAGGAGTATCAGTGGTTGTGGGATGTGTTCCATGTTACTAGGAGTATCAGTGGTTGTGAGGTGTGTTCCATGTTACTAGGAGTATCAGTGGTTGTGGGGTGTGTTCCATGTTACTAGGAGTATCGGTGGTTGTGGGGTGTGTTCCATGTTACTAGGAGTATCAGGGGTTGTGGGGTGTGTCCATGTTACTAGGAGTATCAGTGGTTGTGGGGTGTGTTCCATGTTACTAGGAGTATCAGTGGTTGTGAGGTGTGTTCCATGTTACTAGGAGTATCAGTGGTTGTGAGATGTTTTCTATGTTACTGTGAGTGTCGGTGGTTGTAGGGGATGTTTTCCATATAACTCAATTTCATCATTTAATAATATATTTTAGGTGATTTCTATGTATTGAACGGAAACAAGTTTTGGATAACAAATGGTCCTGATGCTGATGTGTTGGTGGTTTATGCCAAAACTGACTTAAAGACAGATAAGCCACAGCATGGTATCACAGCATTTATTATTGAAAAGGTAAGTTTGTTTATAGGTTTTGTTATAAAATTGTCACAAAAATTGAGAGTGATATCATGTTTGTAAAAATACCACAACTCCAATCCTTAAACATAGGTATAACTCAACAGATGATACTGTTACTAAAATTTCAGTTGGATTTTGGGTCTGATCAAAAACACAAAATGGCTGACAGGCGGCCATCTTATATTTTAACTTTTTAAGTTTTTTATTGCTATTTTTTGAAAAGTACTTAATATATGTAGGTTTCCCATGGTCCCTTGTTATGCAAGTTCAATTTTGAGTCTGATCAGAAAAGCAAAATAGCTGTTTTTTGCTATTTCTTAAGGTAAGTTCACCATTGTCCTTAGTTGTGCCAGTTTGATTTTGGGTCTGTTCAGAGAAAAAAACTGCCAAAAGGTGGCCATTTTGGATTTTGACTTTGAAAATTTGTTATCACTATTTCTTGGAAAGTACCAGATGGATTTTTCTTAAATTTCATATCTAGCTTCCCCTTGCTCCTGGGTTGTACCACTTTGATTTTGGGATTGATCAGAAAAACAAAATGGCTGACTGACGGACATCTTAGGTTTTGACTTCGAAAGTTTGTTATTACTATTTCTTTAGAACTACTGTATAGAACTTTCTCAAATTTCATGTAGAGGGTTCTTTAGGTCCTTACTTGTGCCTATTTGAGTCTTGGATTGATCAGAAAAACAAAATGGCCAACAGACAGCCATCTTGGATTTTGTCTAGTAAAGATTGTTATTTTGACATTTAAATTTTTATTTTCACTTTTTCTTGAAAAGAAATGCATGGATCGTTCTCAAATTTCATGTTTCACTTGGTCACTAGTTGTTCATACTCGTTTTCTAGACAGATGGAAAAATCAAAATAGCAACCATAAGGATAGAATATAAAAAAAAACCTTCTTAAATAAAAAAAATAAAGGTCATTTAAGGAATAATATTGTTTCTGTTGTAGGGTATGGCTGGTTTCAGTACAGGCTTGAAGCTAGACAAGCTTGGGATGAGGGGATCTAACACATCAGAACTGATCTTCGAAGACTGCAGAGTACCAGGTATGTTAACGATAAGAATGGACAGGCCTGGTAACTGTACCAGGTACATTGTCTATATGTATGGACAGGTCTGGTAACTGTACCAGGTACATTGTCTATATGTATGGACAGGTCTGGTAACTGTACCAGGTACATTGTCTATATGTATGGACAGGTCTGGTAACTGTACCAGGTACATTGTCTATATGTATGGACAGGTCTGGTAACTGTACCAGGTACATTGTCTATATGTATGGACAAGTCTGGTAACTGTACCAGTACCAGGTACATTGTCTATATGTATGGACAGGTCTGGTAACTGTACCAGGTACATTGTCTATATGTATGGACAGGTCTGGTAACTGTACCAGTACCAGGTACATTGTCTATATGTATGGACAGGTCTGGTAACTGTACCAGGTACATTGTCTATATATATGGACAGGTCTGTTAACTGTACCAGGTACATTGTCTATATGTATGGACAGGCCTAGTAACTGTAGCAGTATCATATCTAAACCTGAAGTGAATATATTGAAGTTTAAGTAACAAGTTTTATTCACATCACACTTGTTTTGAGTGTGGTGGAATAGCTCCCACTGTACGAGAATATCTTTATACATTACTTGTATAAGAGAAACAGGTCTGTTTATATTGTGGAAGTCTTAGTCCCGTGTGTCAATTATTTATCATATTCTTTTGTAATTTAAATTGGTTTGAAGACAATTGGATCATTTTATTCCAAGAAATATGATGATTTAAAGTAGACCTCTGTGTAATTATAAATCCTCTTCAAATCTATTTTCATAGAATTAATTCATCATTACAACTTATCACTGAACTTCCTACAATTTTAAGTAAATTTTACGACTTCTTGAAAAATGTGTCAGACCTACAATAATCTGGCAGATTAACTCACTCTGATTTCAAAGAACCAAGACATTTCTAATAATTTTCAGCTGAAAATATTCTTGGAGAGAAAAACCGGGGTGTTTATGTATTAATGTCAGGCTTGGATGTAGAACGAGGACTTGGTGCTTCAGGTTGTTTGGGGTGAGCTTAATGTACAATTTTTCATGTATCTTTTTACATAGAGTGTCACCAGCTTCTGATATTAGTCATCTTGTCACAGGCCTTTAAAATTAAAAATGACATGCTGTCTTTTCAAAAGGTCATTATAAGAAAAAAGACCAGACAATTCTATTGTATAGTTATCACATTTGTACATATTTAAATGATGTTCAGTGTACTGAAGTGGAGAAATACTTAGTGATTCTAGTGTTTTTGAGCATTTGAGCAGGTCATGGCCAATATCATGTTGACTATATAAATCAATCGAGTTGGTGACACATGTATATTAATACTAGATCTAACTTTGTCATTGAGTAACAGGAATGTTTTTAATGTTATAAGATATGCTGAGCTTATGATGACAATACATACACACCTCTGATTTTCTCTCCTGCAAAGGAAGACAAAAATGTACAAGTAAAGTAGCAGAAACATTTTTTTTTTTTTTTTTTTGAAAATGCGCTGCAAGATTAAACAATTTCAGCTGAAAACATACTCGGCCCTGAAAATGGAGGTGTGTATGTATTGATGTCGGGCCTGGATATTGAGAGAGTTTTTGTAGCTGGTGGAACTGTGGGGTGGGGTTGAGTCATTGACTACTGGTGAAGAAGGAGTAGATGGATTAACAATATATCGATCTATAATGCTATCAATTACATCAATAAAACTCATTGTTGTTCCAAGTTCATTTGAGCATGAAATTGTTTAATGTATAGTTCATCAGTCCTTCATTTCACATACTGCAAACATACTTGAATTTGTGCAATCAAATTTTAGCACATAATCAGTTGTAGGCAAATGAGTACAATGATAAATTTAAGTATTCACAATATTAAGGATAAAAGCAGTATATTGGAACTGTAAGAAGTGCAATATTTCAGTACAAGAAGTACTACAAGATTATCGCTAAAATTTGAATGTTTACAGTAATGGACAACTTCACATTATGTTGTGTGTTCCGTTTTAAAGGGATATTCTGCATAAGTTAGGATTTCATGGAATGCTTTTGAAGAAAACTGTACAAAATGATCTGCTTATGTTCTTTCTGAAATCATACACCTCAATTTACCATTTAAACAAATATATAATAGCTATTGTACAGGAATTCTTAATAGATCTAGCAAGATCAATTTACAAACGTTTGTGCAGCCCTGATTATGTCATAACAGGCTTGCATTGCTGTATGTCGTAACAGGTTTGCATTGCTGTAAGCCGAGCAGAATAAAATATTTATGTAAATTATAAAATCAACAGAAAATAAGCCTAATGAAGAAATAGAATTGTAACCCCAGCAGAAAAAGAAATAGAATTGTAGCCCCAGCAGAAAAAGAAATAGAATTGTAGCCCCAGCAGAAAAAGAAATAGAATTGTAACCCCAGCAGAAAAAGAAATAGAATTGTAACCCCAGCAGAAAAAGAAATAGAATTGTAACCCCAGCAGAAAATTTAGTGAACAACATGAACAGTAACCTTTCACTTCCTGATATCCTGACATGATATAGTTAGATTTAGATTGGGTTGGAGTACTTCCACCAATTTCACTTGTCCAAACTTACCATGGAAGAGATATTTTGATGCTAACAATAGTTCAAAAAGTCATTTAAAGGTACAGAACAGCTAGAAATTTTGCAAACTGGGCAGAATATCTCTTTAAACCATTCATCCATTCTCGGTTATGTATATATATATATATATAGTTACCACAGCTTGTAAACCTTTAATATTGTATAATCACCCAGCTAGTAAACCATTTAAAATCACATTGGCTATCCCATGATACCTGCTTAGGCACTCCAAATTATTTATTACATTGTTAATATTGTAACAATATTTCTAGCTTGTGAAGACAATAACATCTAATCCAGACTAATCACACAACAGTTTCTTAAGACGGAATGGTTAGTGAGATTTTTGGCTTGGGTCAAAACAACATAATGTAAAGATTATTTACTTCACAAGTATGACTTATTGATAATCAATCTTTCATGTTTATCATGTGTTCCTGCCCTGTGTCTACTATGTGTGTCTCTAACTGGTGTTGATTGTGTTTGTAACCTTTGTTTACTCCAAGTTTGGGTGTTCCTGCTCTCTCTCTCTCTGGATCTCCCTCTCTGTGTGTCTCTCTCTCCGTCTCTCCCTCTCTCCATCTCTCTCTCTCTATATATATATATCTTTCTCTCTCTCCGTCTCTCTTTCCCCCCTCTCTCTCTCTCCCTCCCTCTCTCACTCTCTCTCTCTCCCTACCTCTCTCTCTCTCTCTCTCTCTATCTCTCTATCTATCTCTCTCTCCCTCCCTCTCTCTCTCTCTTGTAACTGTCAATTGTTGATGTATTGTGTATTGCATGTTTCACTTAATTATATCACAGCTAGGATTATTTGTTGTTATAAGAACGTCTAACAAATGTCGATTGTGTTGTTTGATGAGTCACCTTGCCCTACACACTTGGTCATCTGAAGCTATCCAAGTCTTCCATGCATACACACCTCCAGCCTGGTAATATGCTGTAATAGCTGTGAAACAAAAAAATTAGGTCAATCCTTTTAAAAAAATTGCCTGCTTGATTATTTTATGTTTGACATGCAATTGATTTTTCACTTTCGACCAAAGAAATGTTGATAACAAGTACAGGGTTATCGATGTGAAGTTTTATACAGCACATTTCTGGTGCCCATTCTATAGTACTACTATGTATAACAATGGATTTTGTGGACTTTTGTGCAGCTGAGAATATATTAGCAGAAAAGAACCGAGGCGTGTATGTATTAATGAGTGGGCTGGACATTGAGAGACTGGTGTTAGCTGCTGGTCCCCTTGGGTAAGTCACAGTGATGTAGGTATTGATGACAGGGATGGACATTGAGAGACTGGTGTTAGCTGCTGGTCCCCTTGGGTAAGTCACAGTGATGTAGGTATTGGTGAGTGGGCTGGACATTGAGAGACTGGTGTTAGCTGCTGGTCCCCTTGGGTAAGTCACAGTGATGTAGGTATTGATGAGTGGGCTGGACATTGAGAGACTGGCGTTAGCTGCTGGTCCCCTTGGGTAAGTCACAGTGATGTAGGTATTGATGAGTGGGCTGGACATTGAGAGACTGGTGTTAGCTGCTGGTCCCCTTGGGTAAGTCACAGTGATGTAGGTATTGGTGAGTGGGCTGGACATTGAGAGACTGGTGTTAGCTGCTGGTCCCCTTGGGTAAGTCACAGTGATGTAGGTATTGATGAGTGGGCTGGACATTGAGAGACTGGTGTTAGCTGCTGGTCCCCTTGGGTAAGTCACAGTGATGTAGGTATTGATGACAGGGATGGACATTGAAAGACTGGTGTTAGCTGCTGGTCCCCTTGGGTAAGTCACAGTGATGAGAGAGTGGGCTGGACATTGAGAGACTGGTGTTAGCTGCTGGTCCCCTGGGTAAGTCACAGTGATGTAGGTATTGGTGAGTGGGCTGGACATTGAGAGACTGGTGTTAGCTGCTGGTCCCCTTGGGTAAGTCACAGTGATGTAGGTATTGATGAGTGGGCTGGACATTGAGAGACTGGTGTTAGCTGCTGGTCCCCTTGGGTAAGTCACAGTGATGTAGGTATTGATGAGTGGGCTGGACATTGAGAGACTGGTGTTAGCTGCTGGTCCCCTCAGGGATATCACAGAAGCTAAGTGTTTTTAAGCTCTTCTTAATAAGTACTCATATATTACAAAATATCTTTGTCTCAGCAGGATTTCTTTCTTTTCAACTAAATATATACAGAAAAACCCATGTTCCTAAATTATGGCCATGTTGTCTGAGGGATATTTATCAAAACAGTTATTTCCTTATCAAAGAGACTTACATACAACAAAATTTAGTAACAGCTCAAGTTTAAAACTAAATACCGCCCTTGTAGCTTTAGATGGCACTGTAAGCATTCCTGTCAAACCTGTAGAGTGCTAGTTACATGCAGCATTGCCTACTGTATTGTTTTAACATTACAGTAATGTCATACCTAGTTGTCTGAAATATATTCATGGCTTACTGCAACTAGTTATTTAACTTTTTGATACACTTTCACGGTTTCCAGGATCATGCAAGCATGTTGTGACGTGGCCTTTGATTATGCACACCAACGTAAACAGTTTGGTCAGAAGATTGGTGAGTTCCAGGTAAGACATATAACAGACTGTTCATCAATGAAGGATAAAAAACGTCTTTTCCTCTCCAGGTTATATACAGTAGATGACTGTAGTTGCTGGTATTTGCCAGGAAGGCTCTCCAGTGTTGTAAATCCAGAGTGTGAGGCCTAGACAGGACAGTTTGGAAATCGTTGGTACATTTCTGTATTGAAGATGCAGATATTAGTTACATTCCTTTTTCATATTTGATCAGATATCATCCCAGCATTGTCATTACTTTTTAGTATTAGTTTTGAATTATAATTTTCTCTATAGATGATCCAGGCAAAACTGGCTGATATGTACACAACCCTCAACGCCTCTCGCTCCTACACCTACAACGTGGCCAGAGCCCTCGACCGTGGGGAGAGACATCCTAATGTAAGTATTCTATCACTAACCGGATCACCAACTGTAAAACGGCATAGAAATAGAACTTATTACAAAATTCCAGACTTACCATGTGTTATCAGAGAAATAGGTAGAAGGCTGATCATGTTCAATTTACAAATACCACAAGGAATAGGTTTTTCAAATGTCATGAATGTCTGTATGTTTTCTCTAAAATAGGACTGTGCTGCAGTTATCCTATATACTGCTGAGGCAGCCACCAAAATGGCTCTAGAGGCAATACAAATTCTGGGTAAGTTAGAATTTCTGATCACTAAAGAGGTTGGCCTTTACTTTGGATTTCATAAAATTCCTGTCCACAATCAGACCAACAACATACATGCTAACTGTTAATCACTAAAAACTGTGACATGAGGCCTCAAAATTTAGTCTCATCAGAGTAATTATTGCTTAATGCTTCAGAATCATCTGTCGTCAGAAAAGGGGCTTGCTTACTCATTTTATAAATACAAACAAGCAGCAGAAAGTAATTCATTATAAAGTTACATTGTTATTTATGTTCATTAACACAGTACACTGTAAGAGGTTTTTCTATATTGCCATGCTGCCAGTTTCCTTATGATTAAAGTGATTTTGATGTGTTTACAGGTGGTAATGGTTACATAAACGATTATCCTACTGGTAGATTGTTACGAGATGCAAAACTTTATGAAATTGGAGCTGGAACAAGTGAAGTGCGCAGACTTGTGATTGCCAGAGCCATTAACGCTCATTACAACTCCTAAAAATGAACGACACAGAAACCTAAGGTTGATGTTGAGTTTTACTCAAGAGATTAGATATACAGGTACTCAAGATATTCTGAGCTGGCACCCAGATATTGTAAAATTTCTTGAACAAAATGACTCATAATAATGAATATTTCAACTTGTAAAATGTTTCCAGATATTTTCAAAAGAAAACAAATCAATGTCTTAATTTTCTGTTTAGACTTAAAATATGTCAATCAATCTAATGCAACCATGCGTTGATACAAAACTGTACCTATACTGTGTCCTTTATTAGTCACACAAAAAAATGAATCAATTAAAAAAAGACTTCTAAATTTATTCAAGCATGAATTATTTCAAACAAATATATATTGTGTAAGATATGGAGAGTGAGTAGATGTGAGTTAGTGAGAGTGTATGTTTCTGTGATACAGGTGTGGTGAGTTGATGAGAATGTGTGGCAGCTGTTGTATATTGTTGATGATCCCCATCTCAGGTATTACTGATCAGTGCTACAGATGCTGGAGAAAAGTAATAACATTACAGGATGTGTTTTGTTTTTGTGTTTTAGAAAGATTTTTGTTATTGATATCTTCATGTGTTTACCTAGATATCAACATTAAAATACTGTTGTTTTAGCATGTGATAAACCCCCAATTACCTGTCAATGGATTTTGATAATACCAAAAAAAAATGTATTTCTGTTAATTGTGATATGATACCTGACAGTTTACGACTGATCCAGTTTAACCTGTAAGCACAGATTGTTTATTTTGCTGATGTATTAAAAGCATTTCCCCATATATATAGTGTGTTAAGATAAAAAGTTAATGAACAATCATGTAATGTGATTCGGTTTTTGATATACGACATACAATGAAAATTATTTGTAGTGAAACCAAGTGAACCCAAAATATCAGTATATTACCAAGGTAATCAGGTCACAAGTGTAAAACATACATAACTACCATAATACAAGTTCTCTTCACAACAAACCCCAGGGGACATAACTCTGATTTGGTAACGTGTATAGTTGGACAATAATAATGTTGATACTGGACATGCTTTATTCTGTGTTTTATTTCTGATGATTTCAGTTTTAATTTGATTGATATGTTGTAAACTTAAGACGGGATGTCCTGTAAAGTGATAATAAAACTTACAATAACTCATGTGTTGTTTTATTTTTGTATTGGGGAAAATCTCAGAAACCTAGAAATATTTTCTGGTATACTGTAACTGAGAAGCTGGTCTCTCAATTAACCATCTGAACACCAGGATACAGAATGTAATTGTTCAGTGAATGGCCAATAAAGTTTGGTAGTAGCCTTAGATAACAGGTATCTGTCAGGTGTTGTCGTTCAATGGACAGTTAGTTTAAAGTCCTCCGACATCCGGTAACTAGCATTTTACTTGCCACCTCAGTGGTTATTCCTATGGCCTCTGTTACTTGTTCAGACCAGCAGTTGCATGGTGGGGTAAAATCTCTGGACATATCGGTGGAGAAAACCAGTCCCTTGACCATGTCTTGTGATGACCAGCATCTGTACAGGGTGTCCCTGGTTCATCAGAAGTCACTTGACCATGACTTGTGATGATCTGCATCTGTACAAAGTTTCCCTGGTCAACGGTCAGTCAAAAGTCACTTGACCATGACTTGTGATGATCTGCATCTGTACAAAGTGTCTGTGGTCAACGGTCAGTCAGAAGTCACTTGACCATGACTTGTGATAACCAAATGTCTGTGCACTTGTTGCCTAGTGAGTGTTCAGTCATCAGTCTCTTGAATATGACTTTTGATGACCAACATCTGTATGGTGTGGTTGCCAGTTAGATCTGACCCAGCCAGCTGTGGGACGTTGGCTCCAAACATGGCCAGAGAAACATGGGTACAAGTCAGCCTCCACTTCTTCAGTAAAAACTCTATACTCCTGTCAGAACTGCAGCAGAAATGTAAGAACTGTTAGAATCAGTATTTATATTCTGAGCTGTAGAAACATAAGGATTATACAATGTATTTAGGGTCTTGGAAACATCAACAGAAAGTTTTAGTAGGATTAATATTTGCCTATTATCATAGCTTCAGTTATATTCAAAATATGCAACAAAGAAATATGTCAAACTTATTAACTTGGCCATTGTCAAACTGAATATGAATTTACATAATAAGCATAAAGCTGTCATCAACGGATAGGCTGTGCCAACAGTTACTTATATAATGTGTTACCTTAGAATAATCTTAAAAATAAGTTTCAATAATACACCACTTTAGTGTGTTTGTCATAATGATATAAACTGATCTGATAAACACATTCTATCTGTACAGACACTACAAATCTGTCTATATTACAGATGTGCTGTATCTGTACAGACACTACAAACCTGTCTATATTACAGATGTGCTGTATCTGTACAGACACTACAGCCAGTCTATATTACAGATGTGCTGTATCTGTACAGACACTACAAATCTGTCTATATTACAGATGTGCTGTATCTGTACAGACACTACAAACCTGTCTATATTACAGATGTGCTGTATCTGTACAGACACTACAAATCTGTCTATATAACAGATGTGCTGTATCTGTACAGACACTACAACCTGTCTATATTACAGATGTACTGTATCTGTACAGACACTACAAATCTGTCTATATAACAGATGTGCTGTATCTGTACAGACACTACAAATCTGTCTATATTACAGATGTGCTGTATCTGTACAGACACTACAAACCTGTCTATATTACAGATGTGCTGTATCTGTACAGACACTACAGCCAGTCTATATTACAGATGTGCTGTATCTGTACAGACACTACAAATCTGTCTATATTACAGATGTGCTGTATCTGTACAGACACTACAAATCTGTCTATATTACAGATGTGCTGTATCTGTACAGACACTACAAATCTGTCTATATTACAGATGTGCTGTATCTGTACAGACACTACAAATCTGTCTATATTACAGATGTGCTGTATCTGTACAGACACTACAAATCTGTCTATATTACAGATGTGCTGTATCTGTACAGACACTACAAATCTGTCTATATTACAGATGTGCTGTATCTGTACAGACACTACAGCCAGTCTATATTACAGATGTGCTGTATCTGTACAGACACTACAACCTGTCTATATTACAGATGTGCTGTATCTGTACAGACACTACAAATCTGTCTATATTACAGATGTGCTGTATCTGTACAGACACTACAAATCTGTCTATATTACAGATGTGCTGTATCTGTACAGACACTACAAATCTGCCAGATGTTCTGTATCTATATTTACAGATGTGCTGTATCTGTACAGACACTACAGCCAGTCTATATTACAGATGTGCTGTATCTGTACAGACACTACAAATCTGTCTATATTACAGATGTGCTGTATCTGTACAGACACTACAAATCTGTCTATATTACAGATGTGCTGTATCTGTACAGACACTACAGCCAGTCTATATTACAGATGTGCTGTATCTGTACAGACACTACAAATCTGTCTATATTACAGATGTGCTGTATCTGTACAGACACTACAAATCTGTCTATATTACAGATGTGCTGTATCTGTACAGACACTACAAATCTGTCTATATTACAGATGTGCTGTATCTGTACAGACACTACAGCCAGTCTATATTACAGATGTGCTGTATCTGTATACAAATCTGTCTATATTACAGATGTGCTGTATCTGTACAGACACTACAAACCTGTCTATATTACAGATGTGCTGTATCTGTACAGACACTACAGCCAGTCTATATTACAGATGTGCTGTATCTGTACAGACACTACAAATCTGTCTATATTACAGATGTGCTGTATCTGTACAGACACTACAAATCTGTCTATATTACAGATGTGCTGTATCTGTACAGACACTACAGCCAGTCTATATTACAGATGTGCTGTATCTGTACAGACACTACAAACCTGTCTATATTACAGATGTGCTGTGTCTGTACAGACACTACAACCTGTCTATATTACAGATGTGCTGTATCTGTACAGACACTACAGCCAGTCTATATTACAGATGTGCTGTATCTGTACAGACACTACAGCCAGTCTATATTACAGATGTGCTGTATCTGTACAGACACTACAAACCTGTCTATATTACAGATGTGCTGTATCTGTACAGACACTACAACCTGTCTATATTACAGATGTGCTGTATCTGTACAGACACTACAGCCAGTCTATATTACAGATGTGCTGTATCTGTACAGACACTACAGCCAGTCTATATTACAGATGTGCTGTATCTGTACAGACACTACAGCCAGTCTATATTACAGATGTGCTGTATCTGTACAGACACTACAAACCTGTCTATATTACAGATGTGCTGTATCTGTACAGACACTACAAATCTGTCTATATTACAGATGTGCTGTATCTGTACAGACACTACAAATCTGTCTATATTACAGATGTGCTGTATCTGTACAGACACTACAAATCTGTCTATATTACAGATGTCTGTATCTGTATACAGCCAGTCTATATTACAGATGTGCTGTATCTGTACAGACACTACAACCTGTCTATATTACAGATGTGCTGTATCTGTACAGACACTACAAATCTGTCTATATTACAGATGTGCTGTATCTGTACAGACACAGCCAGTACAGATGTGCTGTATCTGTCTATATATTACAGATGTGCTGTATCTGTACAGACACTACAAAGTCTATATTACAGATGTGCTATCTGTACAGACACTACAAATCTGTCTATATTACAGATGTGCTGTATCTGTACAGACACTACAAATCTGTCTATATTACAGATGTGCTGTATCTGTACAGACACTACAAATCTGTCTATATTACAGATGTGCTGTATCTGTACACTACAGATATTACAGATGTGCACTACAAACACTACAGTCTATATTACAGATGTGCTGTATCTGTACAGACACTACAAATCTGTCTATATTACAGATGTGCTGTATCTGTACAGACACTACAAATCTGTCTATATTACAGATGTGCTGTATCTGTACAGACACTACAAACCTGTCTATATTACAGATGTGCTGTATCTGTACAGACACTACAAATCTGTCTATATTACAGATGTGCTGTATCTGTACAGACACTACAAATCTGTCTATATTACAGATGTGCTGTATCTGTACAGACACTACAAATCTGTCTATATTACAGATGTGCTGTATCTGTACAGACACTACAAATCTGTCTATATTACAGATGTGCTGTATCTGTACAGACACTACTGTACAGACACTACAAATCTGTCTATATTACAGATGTGCTGTATCTGTACAGACACTACAAATCTGTCTATATTACAGATGTGCTGTATCTGTACAGACACTACAACCTGTCTATATTACAGATGTGCTGTATCTGTACAGACACTACAACCTGTCTATATTACAGATGTGCTGTATCTGTACAGACACTACAAATCTGTCTATATTACAGATGTGCTGTATCTGTACAGACACTACAAATCTGTCTATATTACAGATGTGCTGTATCTGTACAGACACTACAAATCTGTCTATATTACAGATGTGCTGTATCTGTACAGACACTACAACCTGTCTATATTACAGATGTGCTGTATCTGTACAGACACTACAAACTACAAATCTGTCTATATTACAGATGTGCTGTATCTGTACAGACACTACAAATCTGTCTATATTACAGATGTGCTGTATCTGTACAGACACTACAAACCTGTCTATATTACAGATGTGCTGTATCTGTACAGACACTACAAACCTGTCTATCTGTACAGACACTACAACCTATCTATATTACAGATGTGCTGTATCTGTACAGACACTACAAACCTGTCTATATTACAGATGTGCTGTATCTGTACAGACACTACAAACCTGTCTATATTACAGATGTGCTGTATCTGTACAGACACTACAAATCTGTCTATATTACAGATGTGCTGTATCTGTACAGACACTACAAACCTGTCTATATTACAGATGTGCTGTATCTGTACAGACACTACAGCCAGTCTATATTACAGATGTGCTGTATCTGTACAGACACTACAAATCTGTCTATATTACAGATGTGCTGTATCTGTACAGACACTACAAACCTGTCTATATTACAGATGTGCTGTATCTGTACAGACACTACAGCCAGTCTATATTACAGATGTGCTGTATCTGTACAGACACTACAACCTGTCTATATTACAGATGTGCTGTATCTGTACAGACACTACAAATCTGTCTATATAACAGATGTGCTGTATCTGTACAGACACTACAACCTGTCTATATAACAGATGTGCTGTATCTGTACAGACACTACAACCTGTCTATATTACAGATGTGCTGTATCTGTACAGACACTACAAACCTGTCTATATTACAGATGTGCTGTATCTGTACAGACACTACAACCTGTCTATATTACAGATGTGCTGTATCTGTACAGACACTACAAATCTGTATCTTAACTGACACTGATGCTTTATCTTTTCAAACTCTAAAATCAAACATTACAGACATGTGTTATATCTGTACAGACAGTAATGCTGTACCTGTAGGGACAATAAAATCTTTCTATATTCTGGACACATGCTGTACCTGTAAGCACACTAATATCCTTCTATATTTTGGGCACATGCTGTACCTGCAGGCACACTAATATCCTTCTATATTTTGGACACATGCTGTACCTGTAGGGACACTAAAATCTTTCTATATTTTGGACACATGCTGTACCTGTAGGCACACTAAAATCCTTCTCTATTCTGGACACATGCCGTACCTGTAGGGACACTAAAATCCTTCTATATTTTGGGCACATGCTGTACCTGTAGGCACACTAAAATCCTTCTATATTTTGGACACATGCTGTACCTGTAGGGACACTAAAATCTTTCTATACTTTGGACACATGCTGTATCTGTATGGACACTAAAATCCTTCACACATGTAGCATACATTTAGTACAGTGATTTACCTTCGTTGCTGATAGGTACTCCAGAATTCTGCTTTCTTATTTTTGTTTAAAAGAAAAGCCACTGTCACAAGTACATCCTCAAAATCTGAAATCGTAAATATAGTGTTTCAGTAAGTTACTTAATAGTTACTTACCAACATGTCTTAAGCTGCATACAAAAAATTTCCCTTCACCAAACTGTAAGCCTACCTCACAAGTAATTCCGGAAAGTGATTTAGAAATAGATAAGTTATGATAGATGAAACTTTCGCAGCTTATCAATTATAAACTTATAACTTTATACTAGAAATTAAAATTTCCATGTTCGTATTTTTGGTTTACAGAATTAAAAACATACCAAATATAAAAGAGGGTATAGATGTGATGCTGTACCTGTTGCATGGTGACATTATAATATGGCCTAAAAAGTAACATTGCCCCCCTCCCCCTTTTTTTACACTACATTTCAATAGTTTTTATTTGAATAAATAAAGAAGGAATCTTGACTGTAATACTCCTATCTAAAAAGTTGTCCAAAAAAAACTTCTGTGTTACTAAAACTATAAGTAAGGTTAACGGAGACACCTGTATATGTTTTTTCTTTTCTAGGCCTGTAATTGAAGCAAGGTTAACAGAGACACCTGTATAGGTATTTTCTTTTCTAGGCCTGTAATTGAAGCAAGGTTAACAGAGACACCTGTATATGTATTTTCTTTTCTAGGTCTGTAATTGAAGCAAGGTTAACAGAGACACCTGTATATGTTTTTTCTTTTCTAGGTCTGTAATTGAAGCAAGGTTAACAGAGACACCTGTATAGGTATTTTCTTTTCTAGGTCTGTAATTGATGAGGAGAAAAAATGTGTGAAATTATAGTGTACCTTTGGTGTCATAGAAGCAGTCTGAGCCAAGTATAAAGTCAACTTTAGGTAGATCTAACAAACTCTGCTCAAAAAGTCCCCACGTCAGGCCGATGACTGGCACATCAGACAGTCCATTGGCCATACAGGAAGCCCGGCAGTTGTCCAAACATCGTGGCTGGTTGGCACTATCACTGAGGATCACATTGGCTCCACATTTCGCGGCAATTATCCCTGGCAGAGCAGTTCCAGAACCAATCTAGTCAAAAGTTCAGTGGTTATTCTCACATGATCTCAATCATGAAACCAAAACCAATCAGTCAATAAATCAATCAATCACTCAGTCAATCAATCAATCAAACCTTCAGGAAGTATTTTGTATAGTTATGTCAACTTAAAATTGACATGCAAACTTCTATTCACAAATAATTCCAAGCTGTGAAAAGAATGTCACCATGGTGAAACAGTCACTTATTACAGACTCTTATCCAGATATGTCATTAACTAACCATATAGTCATTTGTTACAAGCTTAACTAGATGTATTAATGGTAAACCATCTAGTCACACTTGATACTGAGTCTACCAGAGGTCTGTCACAGTGACTCTTGTAAAGGTGTATAAGTGTAATGAAAAGTCAAGAGAGGAAATAAGATATAAAAAAATTAAAATAATCAGAGGGCTATAACTCTACACAGTAGGCCCTAAGGTAGCAGTACACAGTTTCTCGGTGTGGCCATGGGTGATTTTTTTTTGCTCATTAAATTACCCCATTATAAAGGTTTTAATCAAAAATGAAAAAAAAATCCTTGCTAAAATTGGTCCTGTCATGTTAAAGTGGACAATGTGGGGTTTCATTTTTTTCAGGATAATATTTTAGCTTTGTATTGGAGATTACTATTTGGGCAGTCTCGAATCTGTGTCTACGCACCAAAAACTAGCTTTACAGGAAGTGAAATTTTCATAGTGTTTACATGTGGTCATGTTATGAAGAATTTCCGAGTTGGAATTTGCTGAAATGTAAGCACTTTGTTACCATGACAGTGTTGTTGATTGTAAGATAGGTGTTTAGAATTAAATTTCTCCTAGAAAGTTGTAGTGTTGGGTTGGAATTAGCAGTATTTTTGCATTTTTAGCATTTTTTCAGTAGGTAACCATGACAATCAAATGTCAGAAATCAGAGGAAATTTTTTTTTACACAAATTTCATCTCTCTACTGTTAATGTAATTGTTATGTAGTTTATAAATATATATACATGTAATGATGTATTTTTCATAACCAATCTGCTATACCTGTATATCTCAAACATGACAAATAATTTCAGGAAAAATGCAAATTAACTGTTTACTGCTACCTAATGAAAAACTTGTTCAACTGACACCTGTCGAGGCATAACATTTGATTTAAATGAGATCTGCCATTCTTAGTTTGGTATGCAACGTCATGGTGATCAATATCACTCAATTAAGGAAAACATTATTGTTGTAGAAGTGAAACATTTACATTGAACCTGTAATCAATAAGAAGTTTGATTACCTCTAACACTGACGCGCCTTGGATAAGTTCCCTCTTAGTCCAAACATATTGTGCTAACACTGGAGCACAGGGCCAGGTGTACATCCCATAGCTCGGATCCAGTACCTGAAAGAACACTTCTAAAGTCATTCTAACCTTCTACCATTTTATACCCATACAGCATAACAATGGGGACCAAAAGGAAGGAACCCTTCCCCATCCCCTTTTTCAGCTTTTTTCATTTTTTTTCCATTTCATTATTGAGTTCATGGTCTGTCTTTTCATTTGTTGTAATGCTACTAGCACATTGAATTATTTGAAATCAGTATTGGAATTTGGAGGTGCCAATCAATCAATGCAATTAATAAGTCTTGTATACGAAACAGCTGTCTTCTGGAAAGATTCTCGGCGTGTTGTTTCATGCATTCGTGGAAGTCATTAATGTACATGAAGAAGATGTTGACCCTTGAAGCACCCCGGCTGTATCTTGTCTGATTTTTTTCGATTTCCCCTCAGATACGAGAAAAGAAGGAGAAATGGTCCAATTGATAAAGAACAAATATATATCATACAATGGGTTACGCCTAGATCTCTCTGTGATCCCCCCGTTTAATATGGACTCAGATATATTGTGTAAGGCCATGCATTACCTCTGGAATCCAAATTGTTATCCGTTCATCACTGGAGGTTTCGCTAAAGGTAAATATCTTTCGGGATGCTGGGTGCTGACCACATGACATTTCTATAAAGCACAGTTTTAATCGTCTGACTGGGATAAACGTGCAATAAACATCAGCGCACGTTTCTTTGTTTACGTCGCCATTTTTCTTTGCCTCTGCCAAATTAATTTGTACGGAGAAATTTGATTGGTTTACTTCGTCGATACGACCAATGAGAAACCTTGTTTAACTGTTGCGGTGAGAATGCATTTAGCTGATGTCATATGGGTTCAGAACGATGTCAGGAGGTGAGGCCTACGGTTACTGATGACATATACATTTCATTTGATCATTCCGGTAATGTCATCTGTTCTCCATTTGATTTGGTAGACTTAAACTACATGTGCCTTTCGGCCAGGATTTGGTTGTCAATCTACCCTGTTGAGATTAGCTGAGGATTGGCGAAAGGCCTTGGATAACCAGGAGTATGTCGCCGCCATACTCATGGATCTATCCAAGGCTTTTGACTGCCTTCCTCATGATCTGCTGCTCAGAAAGCTTGAGGCTTATGGTCTGAGCTCTGGCTCAGTAGACCTGGTCTCTAGCTATTTGAGTGACAGAATTCAGCAGGTTAGACTGGGTTCCAAATGCGGTGACTGGATGAAAGTGCTGAAAGATGTCCCTCAAGGCTCAATCATAGGCCCTTTACTTTCCAATATTTTCATTGATGATGTTTTTATATGTCAAGTCATCCAACTTATATAATTACGCTGATGATAACACCATCAGTAACTCTAGCAAAGATCTCCTCACTCTAAAACAAGCAGTTGAAACAGACTGTTCAAACTGGGTTAAATGATTTTACAAGAACCAAATGAGGGCAAATCCTGAAAAATTTCAGGCTCTATGTGTAGGTAAAAAAATCAATGGAGGCATTTGCAAATTTTAAAATAGATAATGTAACCATTTTACCTGAGAAAATTGTAAAATTGCTTGGAGTTTATTTTGATTCACTTTTAAATTTTGACTTTCATGTCTCGGAGCTATGTATAAAGGCCTCCAGAATGTTCTGAAAAGAATTGGAACTTACTTAAATAAACAGGGCAGAAAAGTTATATATAATTCTTTTATACTTTCAAATTTCCAATTCTGCCCATTAGTCTGGCATTTTACAAGTATGAAAAGTGTGCGAAAGATGGAAAAGATCCATGAGCGTGCTCTAAGATTTGTTGAAAGTGATTATGAGTCATCTTTTATACAAATTGTCCCCTGAATACATTCTAGATCTGGTGAAATTTAAAGAGTCTATTCATAATTTTAAGAAGGACTACACAGTCACTGTGCCAAATGTAAAGTCTACCAAGTATGGACAGAAATCGTTTAGTTTTGAGGCAGCACGGGTGTGGAACAGCCTTCCGAATGAATTACGGAAGTGTGAATACTACCCAGAATTCAGGAGGCTGATCCACACCTGGGATGGCCCGATATGTTCCTGTTCTATCTGTGCCAAAATGAAACCTTGATCTGCTTTCTGTGTGTGTTTGTCATTTGGTCTATGTTGCCAATGTTTATTTCTTACTGTTTGTTTCTATATATTTTTTATGGACTAGGGACCTGGTTTGTGGGGACTATACTGGCCCAACTTACCAGACCTCTGGGCCATTTTAATTTATAACCATTAGTGCTTTCATAACTTAAATATGCTGTGTCTTTATGTACATTTTAATCAATGGAAATCCTGTAATTAACATCTCGAGTTACTACTCTGTGCATGTTTTATGTCCATACACGTATGTTTCACATTTTGTTTTTTTTCTTTTATATTGATATGTTTTGTCGTAATAATAGCTCCTCTGAGCTAATGTTGACTTTGTTTATCATATACGACACAAAATAAAGCTTATTGTATTGTATTGTATTGTGATCATAACAATCATTTGGACAATATGGTAATACGAATAGTATTAATTGTCTAATCCATCAGTCGGTCACAATTCATCATTGGCGCATTACTTTCGGACCTCTTACAATCATTCTTCGCTAACTACGCCATGTTGATGAACAGCCACCAAACATATCCATAAATGACTTGAATTGTGTTCATACTATAAGATTTATTTCAAAACTGATGGGTGAAATTCCAGTATTTTTTCTAAAAAAAAATATATTCACAGATATGATCCCAAATTTGCTCACCTGAAATGACCGACATGTGTATCGGACATGTGACTGCACTTCCGTTTCTGATGACAGACGCTTGAGTTAGCTAAGTGTGACCCAGAAGTACAAATGTTTAACATGAAATTATCATTTGAACGGGAACGACATTTTGATGAAAATAAAAATCAAAATACATATATGGTGCGAAAGTGTTGGATATCAGTATTTGTGTGTGAACCTTTTCTGAAGGATGAGGTTTAAGTTTTTATTGTTTGATCTCGTTTTCTCAAATGAGCCATATTTCTAAGTAAACTTCTTTTTTTAACACAAACTATTTAAATAAAGTTAATTTTTCATCTCTCAGTCTACGACTCAATATTTCGATAAAATTGGAAATGAGTCATCAAAAGTGATCATTCATGAATAATTTTTTCAATATAAGATGTGCAAGTTTGGACTCCTGTATCCGAAAAATTGTAAGAAGGCGTGGCCTATTATTCATGGTTGATTTTTATTCAGGTGACAGACGACAACTACGGTATACATTGACATCTGAGGATGAATTGATCAGTTATTTCATCCTATCTGGAAGGAAGTTTGACATGTAAAAATGTGCATTAAGAAAAAAATCACAAATTTGCCAATGAAATATATACTCATAATATGTTAAAGTGAATAGTTTAAATCACAATTTGTTTATTCGTTCTGGAAGCATGACATTTACCAGTAGCCAAAATTATCAGGGTATATAGAAGTACAGAGTAGGTCAATATTTTATGTGATACGGCTTGACAAAATGGCCGTTACGAAATACATAACGGTCCAGAACCGATGTCCAGACGATACATTTTTTTTCTCTGGTTTACCATTTTGTTGTTTAATAATTTAATATATTGATGTAGTAAATACATTCTTATCTGATAGAAAAACATTCCGTAGTGTGTATGTAGATATACTGTACAGTTACCTTACATCCTAAGTGCATTCCAGATACAAGTGCAAGCCTACTCGTATGGCCTAGCAGTAGAGGAGATTCTTCAAGGGTGATGGTCTAATAGATAGAGAATATGTGGTCAGTGTCTTCAAATATATACTGCATTTTGGCTCGGGACAGAAAGACAAAAGTGGCGACCACGTCTTCTATTTATCCTGCAACATTTACTGCAAATCAGACCATTACAACTTCAACAGTTTTTTCATTCAATCTTTGTTTACCTGATGTTGATGTTATGCTGAATTTTGACGTACGCCAATATGATTATTTGATGCAGAAAGATAGTTCCAAACTTCAACAGATGTGACAGCGATTTTATGAATTTTTTTTGTAATTAAATATGTTCAGTAAAACATGTAAAATCTCTAATTTCATCAGTTATTAGGTTGTTTGTTAAATGTTATTTTTATGTAAATTCAGAAATAAATTCCATCAAATACAACTGTTTTCCTTCACTGTCGAATACAGCAAAAATATATGTGGCAGACATATTCAAACAACTAGACTGCGAGTTGCAGGATAAAACCCGATGCTTGTTGAGGGTTAAGACTGTCAAAGACCTCTTCAAAGATGGCTTACCCTGACCACAAGTGGAAATGTATCCATCATTCGGGTAGAGATCAAATAATTCATATTTTTTCTTCATGAGAAATTTCTGATAAGGTTATCCTGAATGAATTAGACTTTGTTTGAATTGTAGGTAAATCCATATTGAGAAGACTAGATCAGACCTGGAGACTTGTGAGAATGACTTCAAACAGTATGGTATGTTTTGTTCTATCAATTTTCTAGCTCACCTGCCCAAAGTTATTTGGTCAGTAGTTGGTTGATATTAAGTGCTATGAACATCATTCAAATTAATGACCTTGACTCATTCCATAGGTTACAAGAGACAAATGATATGGCAGACCTTACATTGGGCTAAGTGGAAGATCAAACTGACACCTACAGATGTGTCTACCAAGTTACTGCTACGGTTCCTACAAGCTTGTAGTTGAATCATCCCAAATGGAATAAGATATAAAAATAAACTGGCCTTCCTTTTGGCTGTGGAGGTGATATTGACAGTTATTTGCTTAATTGTCTGATGCCACCAAATTCCAATATTGATGGACAGATTTCAAATGGATTTTAAAACTGTACAGATAATGGAGATGGCCCTCCCAGTGGCTGATTTAAGCACACCTGGTGTTTATAACCAGGCTGGTTGTAAAAAGATTATGATGGAAGCATTTCTTTGTCCAAGAGGACCAAAAATTATTAATAAATTTCAAGGGTCCACTTTCCCGAGTGGTCAGCAAATATTAATCTCAATAGAAAACAAAGAAATGAGTGAATGGTGATAGGCTTTTGGACCTTTCATTTAGCATACCTTGGTGAGAATAGTTGTAAACAAAAACATTCAACAATATTGTATCAGGTATTTGTAAACTGATTTTGATGTTTTTATTGTTATGTAATTAACCTCTATGTTTTACTGTTTCAGAAACCAGTAGAGGAATCAATCATAAGGAAAATTTCAGAAAGACTAGCACCTCAACACTTGGAAGTTATCAATGAAAGTTACATGCATAATGTTCCCAAAGGTAGGTAAAATATACAATTTTAATTTCATTTTGTCTGATTCAGAATTACTAGTAAAATATCACAGTCTGAAGGAACCAGCTGATTATTCCACTGCTGCATGTACTTCTATTGTGATGATAACTTGATCAGGTGTATATATTATATAAACTCCATGACATGGTCACATGACCTTCCACACCTCAACAGAACTTGATGATCATCAGTCTCGCGTAAAAAGCACCTTAGCAGAACTTGATAGTCATCTGTTTTCAAAAATTTTCATCGATTTAATTTAAGCGCATTATGTATTCACTTGCATCCTTTCTTAAGGAGTGCTTAGGGTTGTATTTATATATTATCCAGCTTCCCAAAGTGACATTATCATCACAGTGTCTTACATGTACAAGAGGTAATAGGTTGTAGCAGCTAAATAGAATGTAATTTGATATATATTTGATACTGTTAACACAAGACATCCTATATATGGCCAGGTGATTTTTTTGTGATGATTTTTTTTACTCTTTCTAGGATCTGAGACTCATTTTAAAGTGGTAGTCATATCTGAAAATTTTCAAAGTGTTCCTTTGATAAAGGTAAGTAAAATAACAAGTGAGTTTTTTGGTAACCATACAACACAGGATAAGGTTTTAAAATAGGATTAAGTCCCCCACTCAAGCTTGATACTGAACCAGAATACTGAATAACAAAATATACATCACTCGTCATATGGAGGGAATTTCATTTATTGTATGGGAAGTATCTGCTGTCGTTATCCATAGAATTATTCATTTTTGTTTTATTTTGACTATCTATGGAAATTTTAGAATTTGCTAACTATGATCATTGTCTAAATTTCTTTGAAGTCTATCAACTTTTTCATATCGGTCTGGAGTAAGAATGAAATATCGATGTACATTCAGAATCGTTTGTGATATCAAAGTATAATTGATGTTTTTCATGGAATAATTACCGTCATACAATTTCTATATGAAATGTCCAGGGTCTGATGGCTGTATTTTATTATATTAAAGAGACATAGGATGGTAAATGAGGTTCTACAAGAGGAGCTAAACTCTGGAGTTCATGCATTGTCCATTCTAGTAAGTATGTTTATATTGTGTTCACATAAGTAATCTGGAAATATTTCATGGGTATTTTTATTTACTCAATAAAGCACTGCCCTGTTCACAGCAGTTAACATACTGGCAATTATTGATAACTTTGTAATGCCTTCTCATTAAAAATTTCGTTGTGTTTGCAGGCTAAGACGCCCCAACAGTGGGAAGAGTCACAGAATATAGGCAAATCCCCACCATGTCGAGGAGGAGCAGGCTTATGATTCCTTGTCTGTGGTCTGTGTGTAGATCTGTCTTTACAGACATGGAGAAACGGGCTTCTCACCAATGCAGTGAACATCATAGCTCTGATTGGATACTCTCATTCTGTGATGGTCTTGTTTTACAGAAATCCTTATCCATCATATTGCATGCAGGAGAAAACTTTCAGTTCTAGACAATAAACGTGTACTCATTCGCTGGTCCATAAATCAATTTTCATACCTGGGACATGGAAATTCCACTTAGTTAACATCAGATGTGACATCTCTCACAGGATGCAATATCTCATTATTGTGATGGACTTCAGAATAGACCACCTTATTTCACATCACATGTCGATGTAAGGAAAGTAAAGATAATGTGATTGTTAGAATCATTTACCAGAAAACTTGTACAGCATATATACAGTAAAGAATTACATTCTGATGGGCAATACAGAATAAGGTCCAAAAAATTCATTTCATTTTAAAACAATATAGTTCAGTTGGGGTTAAGTTAAGATTTTTAAAGTTTTGCCCGATGCTTTACCGAATTCTTAACTTTAAACAACTCAAGTCTTGAGATATCTGTCTTCATCACACAGAGGCAATTGATTGATTTTCTCCTAAATACTGCAAGTTGATGTTAAATCAAAATTGATCATATTGTAATCATTCACCTCCTCGTTGGTGAGATAGGGTGATCGCAACCTTCAGGAATAGATGTTTCAGTTGCAAACACTTGGCAAGCATCAAGTTTACTTACTTAATCATCTTTCCATTCAGGTTGATATTTACCTATCTCACCTACAATGGAGTGAAAGGTTTTATTATTCTTTAGCAAACATTTCTGCATTTCATACTGGAAAAAACACTTGTGAGATGTAGACTATTGTCACTCAGCTGTGGTGTTGAATGATCTGTTACATAAAGGCCATGTTCACCGTAATCAAAACTACAAGATGTTGTTTAGCATACAATGTACGCTCACACTAGAACATAATATATGGGACAGGAAAATTATTCCATCTGTGAAGACAAAGTAACATAGCTGAATTCTGAGAGATATGGGACGTTAGCAAAATATACATCTGTGACAGAAAAAGATTGAGGAATCATATGTTCCATAGAACAAGTAGCCTGAAGAAAGAGATGAGGATTAGTAAACAAACAAACAAAAAAGAAAGACAAATGGTCTGACTGCTACTAACAAAACAGACATTTTATATAGCTAATTTTCTGCTTCATTCCCAAACACTTCAATAGAATTGATTGTAAACACGGAGAAATTTAACAGATGAGTTTAGTTAACTTAGCCAGCATTTATGTTGTGTAGATGATGGTGATTAAGCTGACACAGAGAAAACAAAACCCACTGTTAATCCATGGAATACATGGAACCCCTACCTTGTAAAGTAACAGCCCTGAACCTTTAGTACGTGTAATGACAAGTATCTCATTCCTTTCACCTCACCAACTTAGAAGAAAATGTCACCCATCAAACTTTGTGGTTGTCATTCTTTTTCCTGAATATGTCGGGGACAAAATGGATGTGGAAATGCAGCACAAGACTATCAGTATCATAGCTTGAACTAATTCATTGTCTTATTTACCAATCAAAAGTGATTTAGATTTTACAAACGTATATATATTGTCAAATGTAATGTGGGATTTTTTTACCTGTGTTCTGAGCAACTTGATTTTTATTTTGAATGTTTGAATGTTAGAAAGTGAGTGTGAACTAATGTAGTTTATATTTGTAAATAAAACAAATGGCAAATGTGAAACAAAAAGAAAAATTAAAAGTTTTCACATGTTTTATTTTGTTTACTGAATTATTTAAACCATATAGGCTGACTCAAGTTTCATTCCACTAAAAGGGCTTGTATCCTTATGCTGACTATACCTTTATCTGTCCAGTCTGATGTAACAAGAGTGTTTTATTACAAAAGAAAGCCTTTATCCAACTAATGTTACATTTACCTGTGTAGTCAGTATCAGAAATGAACTAGATTGTATGCAGACATGTTTGTATTTGATCTGCAATGTCTAAGGACTGCATCGGAGTATGTTCATTAAAAATACTAAATGATATGGTTTATGGATCAGCGATCAGCCATTACTAGCAGGTCTAGAATATATTTTAAGGTTCCAAGTTATACTGACATTGTACGCCAAACAAAACGAAAATGCATCAGATCAGATAATATATCCAGAATAACGCAATGTAACCAAACACATATATGTTTAGATGAAAAAATCATAATTAAGAAATCAACAAAGTGGAATCAATTTTGTTATATTCAGGATAAAAATTCAAGTAAACCTGACTTGTACAAGGTGTACCAATGATTTAAAGAGCTATTCCAGTTAAGGCAAAACACCATTATTACCACAATTCTTTGTGACTAGTAATTCCAGAAACATGGTATGAACAGGATGATTCCAGTTACCTTGTGACAACAGAGTGATTCCAGTTACCTTGTGACAACAGAGTGATTCCAGTTACCTTGTGACAACAGAGTGGTTCCAGTTACCTTGTGACAACAGTGTGGTTCCATTTACCTTGTGACAACATAGTGATTCCAGTTACCTTGTGACAACAGAATGATTCCAATTACCTCGTGACAACAGAGTGGTTCCAGTTACCTTGTGACAACAGAGTGATTCCAGTTACCTTGTGACAACATAGTGGTTCCAGTTACCTTGTGACAACAGTGTGGTTCCATTTACCTTGTGACAACAGAGTGATTCCAGTTACCTTGTGATAACAGAGTGGTTCCAATTACCTTGTGATAACAGAGTGGTTCCAATTACCTCGTGACAACAGAGTGGTTCCAGTTACCTTGTGACAACATAGTGATTCCAGTTACCTTGTGACAACAGAGTGATTCCAGTTACCTTGTGACAACAGAGTGGTTCCAGTTACCTTGTGACAACAGAGTGATTCCAGTTACATATAGATATACATCTAGTTATGCAGTAGACGGTCCATTTTCCTTCTGCTTAAGTTAGTAAAAAAGTGCACAGCCACTGCTTGTAAACAAATCTCAAATGTTCCCAAAGATATCTAAAGATTGAATGTTAAGAAAATAGATTTTAACTATTTTTGCTTGGTTTCATCAAAAAGAGTGTTACACTATATCCTTACATATTAAAAACAGAAAAGAATATTAAAATGTTGATCAATTTGTTGAACAAAGTTCCAACTTCACGAACCTTTAAAACTCTTATCATGTCCCAATAGATAGGCGTTTACCCAGAATGAAATAAAATTCCATAATACACCATCATATACAATTTTATTGGGTAAAGAATGGATTTACAAATTGTTATGTACCAGATAAAAACACAAGGGAATAACTTGATGAAAGTGACTTGTTTTTTGAGAACTGATCAATTTAATAGCATAGAGAGCACTATTGCTGAAAAAAAACATTTGAAAAATGAATAGAAATCTATGTATTGTATCATTTATATACAAGGTTTTTAACACACAATATACTGAGTTCGTCTCGAACTGTGGACGCGAGGGCTGTCGTCCATGGAACAATTTGGAATATGGCGGGAAATAATTACACCTGGCACATTCGGAACTCCTCACGGTGTTTCCCTAACCTGTGGATGGAAGTTGTTGCTTGCGCTACTGCAGTACTGTTCAAACATCGATAGATTTGTTGATGTTATGAACGGCACGTGTTGGTGTTGAGACTGAGAAACAGACGCTCGTTATATTCATTGGCTATACAGGGAAAATATGCGGGTAAGTGATCGTAATCAAGAGTACTGTGAACAGGTGTCGATGTTGTCGTTTCTGTTGTACAATGGCTGATCATAGTATGTATGTACTTGTAGCACTGGTGTTCGGCGTACATAAGCCAACAAGTGAGCTGCATAGTTTAATTATAACTAGGCCTACGACCGGCAACTTCCCACATTCCTTAGGCGCGAAGGCTGATATAGAAGCCCCTGTGTCATAGATAAACACGTTTTGTATTTAATACTGTGCTCAGCTGAAATATTCTTGCTTTATTCTTGCCCTATAGAATGTAGATGGACTAGGATTGGCAATATGGCACTATTATGTACATGTACTTATATCACGACATCATTACAACTAATACAGCTTAATTACATCACTAATCATCACCCCTATACCTGTCGCATCATCACCCCAATATCTGTCTCACATCATCATCCCAATATCTGTCTCACATCATCACCCCAATATCTGTCTCACATCATCACCCTAATATCTGTCTCACATCATCACCCCAATATCTGTCTTATCATCACCAGAATCTCTGTCTCACATCATTACCCCAATATCTGTCTCACATCATCACCCCAATATATGTCTCACATCATCACCCCAATATCTGTCTCACATCATCACCCCAATATCTGTCTCATCATCATCCCAATATCTGTCTCATCATCACCCCAATATCTGTCTCATCATCACCCCAATATCTGTCTCATCATCACCCCAATATCTGTCTCACATCATCACCCCAATATCTGTCTCACATCATCACCCCAATATCTGTCTCACATCATCACCCCAATATCTGTCTCATCATCACCCCAATATCTGTCTCACATCATCACCCCAATATCTGTCTCACATCATCACACCAATATCTGTCTCACATCATCACCCCAATATCTGTCTCATCATCACCAGAATCTCTGTCTCACATCATCACCCCAACCCAATATCTTTCTCACACTCTGTCTCACATCATCACCCCAATATCTGTATCACTTCACACCAATATCTGTCTCACATCATCACCCAAATACCTGTATCACTTCACACCAATATCTGTCTCACATCATCACCCCAATATCTGTCTCATCATCACCCCAATATCTGTCTCACATCATCACCCCAATATCTGTCTCATCATCACCCCAATATCTGTCTCACATCATCACCCCAATATCTGTCACACATCATCACACCAATATCTGTCTCACATCATCACCCCAATACCTGTATCACTTCACACCAATATCTGTCTCACATCATCACCCCAATATCTGTCACACATCATCACCCCAATATCTGTCTCACATCATCACCCCAAAATGCTAAATGATATTTTTCATATTTTCCCAAAAGGCAAAGGTTACTGATATTGGGCCTATAGCATGCTTGGATGAAGGGCTACCAAATTATTCAAATGACTTGCCCTGACCCACATTTAGGGTCACAGATATCAACTGTTTGAAACATTTTTTCAAAAAAGTTCTTTTTTATCAACCAAAAGACCCATCACACTGACCAGTAGCATAAAGGGATGAACATCTACCACATTTGTTCAACACAATGACCTTGACTTATTTTGATGGTCACAGGTGTTGGATATCTTTAAATCTGCAAGCAACATTTTTTCAGTAATTAAGAGGCCCACAGTTCTGATATTGAACCTGTAACCTGCTGGGTTGAAGTTTAGGGCTACCGAATTTGTTTAAGGGTGTGCCCTTGACTCACTTTCAAGATCACAGGAGTCATATATGTGACAAATGTATTGTTGCATGTATAGGGAATGGGTTTTTTCACGGTAGCAGAAAGTGAAGTTGCAAACTGACAAAAATTAACCAACTTTGGGCCTCCTGTTAAACATGAACCCCATGAAAACTAACAAAAGCACATTTTGGGCGAGCAATAGAAGAAAAAGATTTTGTTGACAAAAGATTTCCCATGTCAATTATCAAAATGAATATACACATTCATATTATGTACAAAATTTGGCAACAATGAAAGTTGAATCTTGATGGTTGTATATGAAGCTGCTGATCCCGTCCAAATTACATTGTGGAATACATAGATCTATAGACATCTACATTGAAGCTCTAGAAAACCATATGCTATATCCTGCAACAGTATGTGCCCCACAGGCTAACTTTGTAATATAATCCAATCTTGTAGAAACAATAAGTGCATTTGGGTACAAAGAAGTTGATTATGGCCTGCAGGGTCAGGGCGAGACAGCAACACAGGTTTCTTGTATGTCTTTGATAACAATGATCATACTTCATTTTTTGACCAAAATACTGTAAATTCTGTATTCTAGGAACTATTCACAGCTTCATAACTTATTCATCTAATCCAAACAGTATTAGAGTTTCAGGTCCACAATATCTCAGTCGATATTTTTAGACTTTTCTGGTGAATATCAGAGTTGTGTGAAGAATTGGCGTTTCTCTGTCAGCAGAGATCAGATTGTCCTATGTGCTGTCATAGCTTTAGGCAAAATACTTACCTAAATTGCATTAGATCATGTGACACGATGTTCAGTAAGGTAGCCACAGGATAAAGCACATACACAAGTGACCCTGCATCAAAATGGCACTGGCTTTTTTCCATGGGACAATGAACTTAAAAAGTGATAAACAAGTTCTCATTTTCAAGGATGAATTTATCATAACTACAGTCCACATTGTGGCAATGCAGAAATACAAAACAAACTTTAAAATTTTGAAGAATATCATCAACTCATCATGAAGGGTGACTGACCACACTGGATACAGTACCCAAAATCATTGGGAAATAATTGTTGATTGACGTAAAGAGAAGAATAATTAAAAGTTTTTATTGGTAGCATTACAATATCAATAGTGTGTTAATACAATTCCAAAAGAACTATGTATCAGTTTCTTAACATAGAGGTGAAAAAGCCTGATATGTACATTAAGCCTGATCTATGGGTTTCGTTATAGAAACTGAGGTGTACAGGTTAATGAATTGCCTGAGGGTGTTTCAGGGAACACCTTTTCATTTATATCAACTGGCTATTTAAAAAGTTTGTATCCATTTATATACTTTTACATGATATAAATCTGTCTACCTGTATGTATGTTCACACTGATATCAGTAAATCCTTTAAAAATTGATAGCATAACATTTGTCATATTTACCTGTCACAAGCTTTCCCTGTTCTGAAATTGAATGCCAGTTATATATCAAACAGAACTCAAAATTGTATTTTTTTGCTGTGAACATTATTTATATGTCATGTTCTACAATCAGAATTGATCAAGCAGGTAAAATGCTTGTAAATATACCAGGAAAAGTGATTCAAATAGCCTACATTTGGATAAGGTTAAGTTTCAGAATAGCTTAGTTTACCAATCATGTTTAGGTATTGTAAGTATAGGGTTTACTGATGTAGTACAGGTATTGTAAGTATAGGGTTTACTGATGTAGTACAGGTATTGTAAGTATAGGGTTTACTGATGTAGTACAGGTATTGTAAGTATAGGGTTAACTGATGTAGTACAGGTATTGTAAGTATAGGGTTTACTGATGTAGTACAGGTATTGTAAGTATAGGGTTTACTGATGTAGTACAGGTATTGTAAGTATAGGGTTTACAAATTTAGTACAGGTATTGTAAGTATAGGGTTAACTGATGTAGTACAGGTATTGTAAGTATAGGGTTTACTGATGTAGTACAGGTATTGTAAGTATAGAGTTTACTGATGTAGTACAGGTATTGTAAGTATAGGGTTTACTGATGTAGTACAGGTATTGTAAGTATAGGGTTTACTGATGTAGTACAGGTATTGTAAGTATAGGGTTTACTGATGTTGTACAGGTATTGTAAGTATAGGGTTTACTGATGTAGTACAGGTAGTATAGGGTTTACTGATGTAGTACAGGTAGTATAGGGTTTACTGATGTAGTACAGGTATTGTAAGTATAGGGTTTACTGATGTAGTACAGGTATTGTAAGTATAGGGTTTACTGATGTTGTACAGGTATTGTAAGTATAGGGTTTACTGATGTAGTACAGGTATTGTAAGTATAGGGTTTACTGATGTAGTACAGGTATTGTAAGTATAGGGTTTACTGATGTAGTACAGGTATTGTAAGTATAGGGTTTACTGATGTTGTACAGGTATTGTAAGTATAGGGTTTACTGATGTAGTACAGGTAGTATAGGGTTTACTGATGTTGTACAGGTATTGTAAGTATAGGGTTTACTGATGTAGTACAGGTAGTATAGGGTTTACTGATGTTGTACAGGTATTGTAAGTATAGGGTTTACTGATGTAGTACAGGTGTTGTATGGTTAGATTGGCATATTACACCTATCAATTGTAAAATGTTTTTTCTGAAGAAGAGAATTTTTGTGTTTTATATTGAATTTCTATTGATTTTCTGGAATAACCTAAGGCAGGTTTCTTAGTAGCAGACAATTGCACTAATGGATAGGCTTTGAAAGGTATTTTCACGAATTGTTGGCATCACATGTTCACACAGATCAGGCAACAGCTAGTTATATGTTGTTACATTTATCAATAAAGTATTTCCCAAGTGACTGGTTGATAAATGAAAGAATTTTATGAAAGATGTCATGAATAGTACAACCTGGTGACAATATATTTCATTCTGAGTGTACTTCTCAGTAAAGAAGACATTTCCATAAGTAATTAAACTTGCCAAGTCTACTCACAAGAAATTGTCTACTTTCACTGATACCTACTGATTTTTGGCATGTGATCAGTTTGCTGTGGAGAGTATGTACTTGATTTTGAGTGGTCACCGAGGGTTGAACAACAGTGACCCTAATGGGATACCAGTTGGTCCAGTGATTTAACTGACCTTCTATTATCCTGGGAAAGGTAATTACAACCTCTCAGCTGACTCAGATCACTGGAAATATATAGCTCAGGGCTTGTTCAAAGATGTAACAGAAATGTGTAAGAACGTGATTACTTGACAGGATTTACACAAAGATCGTATTTGCTG